ATGAGAGGGGGCTTCAAAGTGGCAGTGCCACGTGCAGACTGGGGTCTGCTGCTTTGAAACACGGCATGCAGCCTGAGTTCCCCAGCTGGCCCTGGGTTGTATGCAGCATTTCAAAGTGGCAGCACCATATGGAGACCAGGGTCAACTGGGAATTCCCCCTCTGACCTCAGGCTCCATGCAGCGCAGCCACTTTGAAATGCCACGTGGAGCCTGACACCAGGTTCCCCACTGTGTTTCAAAGTGGCAGTGCCAAATGGAGCCCAGTGTCAGCAGGCGACTCTCCAGCTCGTCCCAGGCTGCACACAGCACTGCCACTTTGAAACACTGTGGTGAGCCTGGGGCCTGCGGGGGGGGACTGCTTGAGTTCCCCACTGGTTCCATGCTCTCCACAGCGTTTTCACATATGAAGTGTAGCAACAGCCCTAGGGCCGTTACTACACTTCAAAGGTGGAGGCGCCCTTATCGACTAATCAAATAGTCAATGCAAAATGCATTGACTATTTGATTAGCCAGTTAATCTAAATTTAACATCCCTACTCCTCAAGCACCTGCTGGAGGACGTTATGCACCCTCAAGTGCAATCTGATCCGGGACTGGCAGATCTGCTAGAGCAATGCCTGTCAACACTGATGAGCACTCCCCTGATCCCTTCTCATGTGCTGGTGCTCACGATACTGCCACATTCATTGAAGTCCCCCCATAAGTGGAAGTAGTACAAACATGGATATAAAGGCAACCCACTGACATGGACTGCCTTTAAGGCTATGTCTACACTGCAGGCTTCTTGTGCAAGAAGTTTTTTGTGGAAGAGATCTTGCGCAAAGACTTCTTGCACAAGAGACCGTCCACACTGCAGAAGTGCATCGAAAATGGCCCAGACTGCATGGACACTCTCTTGCAAGAAAGCTCTGATTGCCATTAACATAATGGCCACCAGGGCACTTGTACTTCTTTCAATAGGCTGTTTTTGTGCAAAAAAAAACCCCCTCCTACCCACCTGCATGCAACTTTTGGCGCAATAACTCTTGAGCAAAAAGGAGTTATTCCTCATAGAAAGAAGAATACCAATACCGCAAAGCCCCCTGTGTTCTGTTGATTCGCTGTAAATTTTCTTGTGCAAAAATGCGCTTGAGGTGTGGACGCTCCTCAAGTTTTTGTGCAAAAATTCTTCTGTGTAGGTGTAGCCTAAATGCAGCAATGGTACTCTGAGTCATGCCTGGTCAGGGTAGAAATTGTGTGTTAACCAATCTGCTTTGCCTCCTAAGAAGTCTTGCACAGAACATAAGTCCAGGCACTGTCATGACTCTCCAGCCATGGCCACCAGTCCACTGCCATCACTTCTGGCTCTTGTTCATGCCTCCTGGCTTCTTCATACCCTTGCGCCTGATTCTGCACATGCCAGCATATGTCTCCACTGATGTCCATGGCCAAACTAATACTGTCAGATGCTGGCTTCCCTTGATGTCCTGAATCTCTGGTGGTCTAGGGGTTCCCATATCTGGCAGATAAACATTTCTTGCTTGCACAGCACCATGCTCCACCCTGACTTATACAGTCTTGCTTCTGCTTGTCCTTGTCCTCTAACAATCCTCAAAGCCAGCTCCTTCATTCTCCTGTGTGATCCTACAGCCTTGACCGTCAGAAAAAATTACCCTACTCACCAACATCTGACCCTTCTGCTGAGTCGTGGTTCTTCTAGCTCTGCCAATGCCCTGTAATTCATATGCTTGACTGTAATAGCCTGCTTGGGACCCCTATGAGGATCACAGGAGGGTGCGAGGTTGCCGCTACTACTGTACCACTAGCAGCCCATACTACCCCACCCTCCATCTATGACAAACCTCATGACATTGCTGTACCACCCACACTGCTGGTTCTCATTTCAGCTTTCTTTTCTCCAGTAGAAGAGTACATTACATTTTCCCGTTCCCTTCTGGATGACCACAGCCAGTATCATGACTTGATTGTGTGCATGTTTGTGGCTTTCAGCCTCCAGATGGAGTACATCTAGGACCTGCATAACACGTTTCTGGATATCCCAACTGCATGGCCCTCCTTTACCACCCTTCCTATTCATAGAGCTATACTCCAACTGGCTCAGTCTGTTTGCCACATCCCAGCTTCCTGTGTCCCTCTCCCAAGGTATACTGAACACTGTTACTTTGCCCTTTCTAAGAGCATATGCTTCCTGTTTACCCACCTACCCAAAATTTGCTTGTGGCCTGTGCATCAACTGAATGCACCTGGCAGCAGCACTTCAAGACCACCACTCTGGACTGTGTGGCAAAAAAACTTGGACCTTGTGGGATGCAAGATTTACTCTTTCACAGGCTTCCAGTTCTGTTTTGCAAATTACCAGACCTTCTTGGCAAAATAAAAATTTTCATGCTCATCGCTGGTGGAGTTCCAGGCCTTCCTCCTGGCAGAGAAGCAGCAGGATTTCCAAGTACTTTCGGAAAAGGGCAAACCAGTCACCAAGATGGCCCTCTAAGCCACAGTTGACAGTGCTGATGTGACATCTCATTCTCTAGTGTTCGGAGTGGTGCTCTCATGAGATTCCTGACTTCACTGTTCTGGCTTCCATAAGGAAGGATCTCACTTTTTGACAATCACAAACTTCAGTAACAAGACAGACAAAGGATCCTTAATGATTCCTGTGCCACTGTCAATTGCTTGATACCTAAGCCCTGGCTCTGACCAGAAGGCAGCAGCAGTTATTTTTCTGCCTACATTCACATATTGCCTACCAACCCTACTTGTAATACCCACAAGAGCTGGCTTTTCACAGACTGTGAGCCCAACAACCATGTTATTTTGCCATTACCATCTCCACTACTGGAACCTTCTCGCAACGTCTGTCCAAGCAGCTATTTTGCCTCTTTGCCTGAGATCCACAAATCTCCGTCCACCTCTACCACATTGTCCCATGTCATCTTCAGGGATCATCTTGCCCTATTAGCTAGCAGTTGGGGAAAAATTATCACCAATTGATGGATGCAGGACATTGCTCACAAGGGGTACCTGATAGAGTTCCTCTCATTTGTCCCTTGTCACTTATCACATGCTGGTCTTGGGGGTCTTTCCCAACATGATCTCCTCTGAGAGGAAGGTAAACACCATCCTCTGGAAGGGTACTGCTAATGTGAGCATGGGTTCTACTTTGCTTATTTCTTTATGGCAAAAAGGGGACTGGCTGCTGCCCCATTGTGGATCTCTGATTCCTGAACAAATTCATGTGAAAATTCTGGTTCTAGATGATCATGCTCTTCTCAATATCCCATCCCTCCCCCATGGGCCAAGCTTCATGGCTTTCAATATGACATCCACCCAACTCATCAAAAGTTCCTCCATTTCACAATGGGACATTCGCTATTGGTTCTGGGTCCTCCTCTTTGCTATTGCCACTTCTTCTTGCATGTTCACAAAGGTCTTTGTTATTGTCAGATCTGTCCAGTGCAGATCTGTAGTTGTTTCAACCACTCAGTGTTTCCTTACATGGACGACTGACTCTTTGTTATGCCATCTTGCAACCATCCTCCTCTCCATGATTCAGAACCTTCATGACCTCCGTTCTGGCCTGGGAATCTGCATCAATGAGGACAAATCAGTTCTCATTCCCTGTCTGTATACTCACCTTCATCAGGCATGCTTGGACTCCTGGGTAGGCGGGGGGAGCCAGGGACTTCTCTCACAGGCCATTTTGCTGTCTTCCATATCCTTCTTCGCACAGCTGTGTGTCAACTTGTATACTTGTATCTGCCAGTGTCTTTCCCTCCTTGGCCACATGGAAGCCAAAATCTCTGTGATTCCATATGCCCATCAGTATATACACTGTTTTTGATCAGTCTATAAACTGCAGATGGATCACCTGGCAGCCCAGTTCTGTTTCTACTCTCCATCCTGGTTTTCCTCACACGAGGAAAGTCTAAAGTCTTTAATTTAACTAAAGTCCTAGTTGGTATCTCATTTACCCATCCCTCTCTCTGCATCAGTCTCATTTCAGATGCCACACTTGTCAAATTGAGTGCTCATTTGGAAGGGCATACAGTTCAGGGCCTTTGAACATCAAGAGAGGCACAGATGTATATCAACATCTTGGAATTGCAGGCTGCCTGCCTTGCATGTCAGGAATTCCTATCCCTCATCAGATTCTATCATGTTCAACTGCTATTCATCGAGATTGCAGTTCAGACACTTGACAGCTCTTGGCCTCATCAGACTATTCTTCACCATTTCTGAGTGCTGTTGGGGGCACATCCTTTCCTCACAAGTCCTCTGTAAATGGATCTCCCATTCTATTGATGAGTGTTACTCCCACTGTCACGTTCATCTGCTCCCTGGAATCAAACCTGTTTCACACTGGTGCATGCTATCTCAATGACTTTCTTTGGAGATGTTCCATGCAGGACATTTGTAGGTCAGGCACGTGATCCTTTGTCCACATCTTTAATGCTCATTACACCATCACTTCACCAATAGCAGCAGATATAGCAGTTGGCCGTGCTGCCCTGCAAACTCTGACTTCCTGTGAGTCCTTGTATCCAGTGCCACACTGAGCACTGTTTGCTACACACCCATGTCTGGAATCAATATACGTGGTCATTGCTCATGGAAGAAAAAGGTTGTTACTTATTCTAACTGGAGGTTTTTGGAGATGTATGGTCCCTATTCAGATTCAAATACCTATCCTCTATTCCCTGTGCTGTGGGTTCTCGTGTTTGCTGATGAAAGGGACCTAGAGTGGCATTGATCCATACAGCCTCTAAAACCTCAGATACACCGTATAGCCATCACACAACGCATGTACAGGTCAACAAACAGTATTACAAACAACTGCAGCGCTTGTCACATATGCATACCCATGTCTGGAATCCAAATGTGCTTGTCTTTAACTTCAATGAAAACAAGGTAGTATGAGCTTTCATGGACAAAACCCACATTTTCAGATGATTTAAGATGCTACTTTCTTTCTGTGCAAGATGTGTTGCCAACAAACAGGCAAACTTTAGTTTAGGTAAATGTCTGAAAAAATAAAATTCTCAGATTAATTCCCTTTTCTTTGCTAAATTTTTTTATGGCACAATAAAGGATCAGAGGATTCTCCAATAGTGAGAGGGAATTTAATAGATTTCTGTTTCTTTTGAAAATGATTTATCAGGGACAGATTTCTCTGCTCTTCAGTTTAGAAGCTTCTAGTGTTTGACAGAAATCACTACAAAAGATTTGAGATTTGGTATCTTACCAAAACAGGAGGTCATTAATGAGCCAAAATCTGACTATAAAATTGGATTGCTTCTACTAAACGATTGCTTTTCATCTGGGAGTGTGAAAATAGCTTAGCTATGAATTAGTGTCCTGTAGCAATTTTTTGTAAGACAAAATTAATTATAATTTATCAGTCTACTCACTGTGTGCACTCACTTTGATTCAGAGATGCAAATAAAGTCTTTGTATTAAGTATTTGTTTGTTCTGTTTTTGTATACAGACTACTTTACTATATTGCCGCAGTTCAATTGATTTACAAACAGTAGCTGACTGGAGCTCCTCTCCTATTAGTCACCAGTTTGATGTGGTGAGTCCATCACATATATGGATATTTGCACATGTGACCCAGGGCCAAGATCCATGGATTATAAGCCTCTCCAGTTTTATGAAACAAGAAAATCTTCCAAAACACTGTCCAACAGCTGTAAGCTATGCTTGGATGTTTGCTTACACAAGACTCCAACTGTTGTCTCCACAGATTGACATTAAGTAAGTTCCCGTCTTAATCTGTTTTCCATTAATCTATATCAATCAATCAAACCACAGAATATTAACCTTTTTAAGAATTATTGAAATTACAATGCCTAATAAATTTCAATAATATTTAAATATAAACACTATCATTTCCTATGTTTTAATCCTATTTTAATATTAATAGCAGAAAAATAACTAAAATGGTTAAATTTAGTAGAGAAATAGGCTGCTGTAATGATTAATTTGTACCTTTTAACTGTATTGTACTTTAGAAGTTATATATATTAGCAATATAATATGCATATTTTTAAAATTGAATTTGCTGTATTAATACCAGCTTTCAATACTGAATTCAGAGTAGAGAATACAGTGTTAAAGAATTGCACATAAAGACATACATAAAATTGAAAAACAAAATTCAGCGGAGAATAAAATGAAGTGTGTAAATTGTATTTTCAAAATTCATGTTATTTTTCTATCTATTTCTTTTCTTTTTATAGTAGCCCTATCAATGCCAAGAAGGTAAATACTACTACAAATAGTGATTCATATATCGGGCTCTGGAGAAACTACCTGATTCTTTGCTGCAGTGCAGCAACTTCCACATCCTCTACTTCAGCTGCAGGTTCTGTGAGATGTTCCCCTCCTGAGACGCTGGCGTCTACTCCTGACAGTGGCTATAGCATTGATTCAAAAGTAGGTTCCTCTGACATTTTCTGAGCAATGCTGAATATTCAGTAATATAGAAATGTTTGAGACTTATAGCCCATCCGGTCTTTCTAAGATGTTTTTGTGATTTGTATGAAATAATAATATGCTGCTACCACTTTGCTCTTGTGAAACAAAAAATGATAAACTAGGACATATTAGCAAAGTAGGCCTGTATTGGTTTTTTGGGTTTTTTTCCTGCTTCACCTACCTTAATTTGAAGCTAAATCTTGCCAAAATTGCCAAGGCATAAAATGATGATGAAAACGTTGATATTTTGTTTATCATTAAAGAGTTACATATTCAAGCAAATGGGCGGATAGAATTCTGCAGTTTTAAGCCAATAGACTAATCTAATTCCAGTGATTGATTCAATTTACTTTTCAGGATTTTGACACTTTTCAGTGTGTTTCCCATCCAGAGATGCCCGTCTGCTTTTTGATTTTCATTCATAGAATCATAGGACTGGAAGGGACCTCGAGAGGTCATCGAGTCCAGCCCCCCGCCCTCAAGGCAGGACCACGCTCCGTCTACACCATCCCTGACAGATGTCTATCTAACCTGTTGAAGAACTTTTCTTTATGCACCCTCTCCACGCCACTCATGCTTTTCATAGAATCATAGAATAATAGGACTGGAAGGGACCTCAAGAGGTCATCGAGTCCAGCCCCCCGCCCTCAAGGCAGGATCAAGCTCTGTCTACACCATCCCTGACAGATGTCTATCTAACCTGTTCTTAAATATCTCCAGAGAGGGAGATTCCACCACCTCCCTTGGCAATTTATTCCAATATTTGACCACCCTGACAGTTAGGAATTTTTTCCTAATGTCCAATCTAAACCTCCCCTGCTGCACTTTAAGCCCATTACTCCTTGTCCTGTCCTCAGAAACCAAGAGGAACAAATTTTCTCCTTCCTCCTTGTGACACCCTTTTAGATATTTGAAAACCGCTATCATGTCCCCCCTTAATCTTCTTTTTTCCAAACTAAACAAGCCCAGTTCATGAAGCCTGGCTTCATAGGTCATGTTCTCTAAACCTTTAATCATTCTTGTTGCTCTTCTCTGTACCCTTTCCAATTTCTCCACATCTTTCTTGAAATGTGGCGCCCAGAACTGGACACAGTACTCCAGCTGAGGCCTAACTAGTGCAGAGTAGAGCGGCAGAATGACTTCACGAGTTTTGCTTACAACACACCTGTTGATACAACCTAGAATCATATTTGCTTTTTTTGCAACAGCATCACACTGTTGACTCATATTCAACTTGTGGTCCACTATGACCCCTAGATCCCTTTCTGCCATGCTCCTTCCTAGACAGTCGCTTCCCATCTTGTATGTATGGAACTGATTGTTCCTTCCTAAGTGGAGCACTTTGCATTTCTCTTTATTAAACCTCATCCTGTTTACCTCTGACCATTTCTCTAACTTGCTAAGGTCATTTTGAATTATGTCCCTATCCTCCAAAGAAGTTGCAACCCCACCCAGTTTGGTATCATCTGCAAACTTAATAAGCGTACTCTCTATCCCAATATCTACATCATTGATGAAGATGTTGAACAGTATGGGTCCCAAAACAGACCCTTGAGGAACTCCACTTGTTATCCCTTTCCAGCAGGATTTAGAACCGTTAACAACAACTCTCTGACTACGGTTATCCAGCCAATTATGCACCCACCTTATCGTGGCCCTATCTAAGTTATATTTGCCTAGTTTATCAATAAGAATATCATGCGAGACCGTATCAAATGCCTTACTAAAGTCTAGGTATATGACATCCACCGCTTCTCCCTTATCCACAAGGCTCGTTATCTTATCAAAGAAAGCTATCAGATTAGTTTGGCATGACTTGTTCTTCACAAACCCATGCTGGCTATTCCCTATCACTTTATTACCTTCCAAGTGTTTGCATATGATTTCCTTAATTACCTGCTCCATTATCTTCCCTGGGACAGACGTTAAACTGACCGGTCTGTAGTTTCCTGGGTTGTTCTTATTCCCCTTTTTATAGATGGGCACAATATTTGCCCTTTTCCAGTCTTCTGGAATCTCCCCTGTCTGCCATGATTTTTCAAAGATCATAGCTAAAGGCTCAGATACCTCCTCTATCAGCTCCTTGAGTATCCTGGGATGCATTTCATCAGGACCTGGTGACTTGCTGACATCTAACTTTCCTAAGTGATTTTTAACTTGTTCTTTGTGTATCCTATCTTCTAAACTTACCCTCTCTCTGCTTGTATTCACTACGTTAGGCACACCTCCAGACTTCTCGGTGAAGACCGAAACAAAGAAGTCATTGAGCATCTCCGCCATTTCCAAGTTCCCTGTTACTGCTTCTCCCTCCTCACTAAGCAGTGGGCCTACCCTGTCCTTGGTCTTCCTCTTGCTTTTAATGTATTTATAAAAGGTCTTCTTGTTTCCCTTTATGCCTGTAGCTAGTTTGATCTCATTTTGTGCCTTTGCCTTTCTAATCTTGCCCCTGCATTCCCGTGTTGCTTGCCTATATTCATCCTTTGTTAGTTGTCCTAGTTTCCATTTTTTATATGACTCCTTTTTTATTTTGAGATCGTGCAAGATCTCCTTGTTAAGCCAAGCTGGTCTTTTGCCATATTTTCTATCTTTCCTACACAGCGGAATTGTTTGCTTTTGGGCCCTTAACAACGTCCCTTTGAAATACTTCCAACTCTCCTCAGTTGTTTTTCCCTTCAGTCTTGCTTCCCATGGGACCTTACCTACAAGTTCTCTGAGCTTATCAAAATCTGCCTTCCTGAAATCCATAACCTCAATTGTGGTGGTCTCCCTTCTACCTTTCCTTAAGATCATGAACTCTATTATTTCGTGGTCACTGTCCCCTATACTGTCTTCCACTTTCAAGTTCTCAACTAGTTCCTCCCTATTTGTTAAAACCAAATCCAGAACAGCTTCTCCTCTGGTAGCTTTTTCAACCTTCTGAAACAGAAAGTTGTCTCCAATGCAGTCCAGAAACTTATTGGATAGCCTGTGCCTCGCTGTGTTAGTTTCCCAACATATGTCTGGATAGTTGAAGTCCCCCATCACCACCAAATCTTGGGCTTTGGATAGTTTTGTTAATTGTTTAAAAATTCATTAGATATGGATCTTTCTGTTCTCAGAATTTTTACAACATGGTGGCTTCCCCTACAGAAAAGAGGAGAGGAAGGTAGTGTTTGGACTATAGAGCACATTTTTTCCCCTGACAGGGAGCTGCTTCTTTTATTCCTTCTGTTATTAGGACTTCTTCCCTAGTTGGGAGATGGGTACCCATTGACAGGAACTTAATACTCCACATGGACCCAGAAAGTAGGACCTCAAAAGGTTTTTTTTTTCTTCCTCTAAATATTGCAAATACACTAAAATATTCAAAGCCATCTTAATCTAAGCAGTTTTCTTTAGAGGACTGGAAATTTCTTCTCCATGACATTTAAGGTACTTTACTTACCCCCGTATTAAAATGTGAATTAGAGAGCCACCAAAATTCCCAGAGTGCGTTTTCCCTTAAAAAGTTTTTAAAAAATTCTCTAGCTGCAGTGACTTGGAGAACATTGTGTAAGAGCCCTGAATAGAGCTACATTACAGACCATCTGTTCCCAGAGCTAATCATAAGCTGTGTAGATTGTCAAAGGAATTATTTGATTGCTGGTAGACTCAGCTATAACCTGAATTGTTAAAAAGACATCCATTGCAATGGAAGGACAGTGACTATAAGGGTTTCATTTAAAAGGAGTGCATATGATGTTACTCAAAAGGAGTTTTAACGTGCTATGAACACTTATTGTAATGATGAAAGACTCGCTGACTTTTAGTTTTCTTTTTTATGGACTATTTAAAAATATAGCAAAAGTCCTCCTCCCTCAGAGGCAGAAGTAGTAGAGGCATCTGTTTGAGGGAACAGAAGAAAATGGCAATTATTTTTTTAATTCTTGTGCATATATATTACATTGTTGGGTGTTCCCTGTGTACTCAGATTTGGATTCTGTTGACCAGTAATGCCATTGGGCTCATTTCTGCTGCCCTGAGTGTCCTCCCATCCAAAGAGTTAAAGGGCAAAATGATCCCAACTGTCCTTTAGTTCCTTCCCACCACCTAAGGCTATGAGCATGAATTTGAAGTATTTGAGCTTCTTACATTGGACATTCTAACTATTGTATTATAAGTAGATGGGTATTTGGGAGCAGAAAAGGAAAGAGCACTGGTAATAACTCCTTCTATTCATCTGCTTATGGCGCTGGTGTACTCAGTACCAAAATCCCACACAGTGTCAAAGACTCTAGGGTTCTTTGATACCATACTCACTGCTCTTGTTAATCAAGTGCCTCCTTTGGTACTGACTGCTACCCCTGTTCTAGTACAGAGCTTACTAGATCCCTGACCTTATTGGGCCCCATAGGGATTATATCACATCAGAAGAGACCAGCTTCTGCAACCTAGCTCAGAGCTGTGTCTTCCTCTCTTCAGTCACAAAGGGGCATTTCATTTGGTTCAGACTGCAGCTCTGCTGACTTAGCAAGGTGATCAGGTATTTCATGAGAACTTACAAATAGAGGAAAGCTCTTTCTCAGCTCTTATCTTGTCATCTGTTCCTGCTGAGAATGTGCCCCAAGCTCCTGAACATCTTGCATACCTCCATGACTGGATGTCTTATGATGACAATAATGAGGAAATGTTAAGAGCCAGCTAGTTTATTCTGGAAAACATCTGTTTTACTAGCTGTATTATCAAAAAGAGTGAATCACCATGACCAGGTCTTTTCCCAAGGCTTGGAGCAATCTTTTACATGCCCTATTCCTGTGTCACTGCTTGTTGCAATGGACAAAGAAAGAACTAAATATAATTAACAGAAAGGTACTCTACAAAATAAAGAATCCAAGAAACTTGATTTATTTGGTTGCAAAAATTATTCATCAACCTTCTAAATCTTGGAGCCATAGAAAAGGTTTGTCAAGAATACATGGTAACACTGGAGTGTTCTTTCC